TGTCCCAAGTTCTAGTGGTACAAACGGGTTCATAACCCTAGGGCCTTGGATTTAAATGATAGGGGTCATGTCCCAAGTTCTAGTGGTACTAAAATGATTTGGGTACCAAAAAGACTTATATTTAAATGATAGGGGTCATGTCCCAAGTTCTAGTGGTACTAAAATGATTTGGGTACCAAAAAGACTTATATAGTATTTTTTTGATGATTCGTTTTGTTTTTGTTTTGAATAATTTCTTTTTGGCTTTGAATGAAAAACCATATTCCTAATGTTAAAAATAAATTATTTGCATGATTTCACAATTAAAAATACTTATATATACCCTACAAAACTTTCAGTATTTTATAAAACATATTTCCAAAAGGTATATATTATAAAATCTCTCAAAAACAATTTTTCCCTTTACCTGTTTCTTTTAGCTTCCCTTGGTCGACCGACCCGGTCGACCGACGATCTTTCTGTAATCGATTCGGTCGACCGAGTCGGTCGACCGAAATGAAATACTGCAGCAACTTTGTGTTTTTTATCGGGTTGTCGGTTTTGTTTTCGAATTTCGTTTTTGGACCCGAACTACCCATCACCATTGATTTCTTTTGGGATAAATCTCAGCCGTTCCATCATCCTCTCCTTTAACCTGACTCTTCATGTTCTCCTCATTTCGAAATTTCCCCAAAATTCGTTCGGTTTCTCCACGGTCGCCCGCTTCTAGCATCCGCCGATCTTAAATCAGTTCTTCCCATCCATTGCATCTGGTTTTTTGCTGGGTAACAAATCTCTCAACTCTTGATCTTCTTTCCCTGATTAAATGTTTATTTTTTTAAGGTTTCTATTTTAGGGCGATTTTTCTTTAATTTGGTCTAAATTCCTTGTTGTTTACAGGAAATTGAGAAAATTTCTTCTATCTGTTTAACCCTAACTCATCATGCCTCCCAAGCCCTCCAAAAAGAGATCCAAACCTGAATCGAGTTCCTCCTCTATTAATGCTTCACATTATGAGGATTATCTGATTATTAAATCTCTTGTTAGGAAGTATAGGGAACTATGTAAACTAAAAATTCTCCCAACTAGGTATATCAAATATCCTGAGCTATTCATGTATGACACCCAGTCTATTCTTCATAATGTTGGGTTAGATAAATTGCTAGATGAGGCATATAAAGTTCCCTTCTATCCGTTTTTAGTTTATCTATTTTATGCCAATTTATCCACATCATCCTCTGCTGATGGTAGTTTGACCATCATTTCCTCTGTAAAAAATATTGCAATATCCTTCTCTGCTAACGAACTTGCTGAAATTCTTGAAATCCCAACAAGTGACGTTGGTCTCATGTCCATTGAGCTTAGTGATCCTGCTGTTAATCAATTAATGTTTAAACCTGGTTTCTCCTATCCTATGAACAACAATTCACTTAATCCTATTGCCAAACTCATTGCAAAAATTGTTGCTCAAAACCTGATTCCTAAGACTGGTAGCTTTGATCACTTCGCTTCTGATAAGATTAATGCTGTTTATGCCATCTTCGCCAAAATCAAAGTTGATTGGGCTACTGTCTTTATTAATAACATGGCATCTAAGCATACCAAGTTTCTACCCTTTGGCTCCTTTCTCACCCTCATCTTCAAACACTTCAATGTCGACCTTACAAATGAACCCAAGATTGAATCTAAGAGAGATTTCTTTGATAAGGTCTCTCTTTTTAGAATGCAGATGGACATTGACTCCACTCCTTCATCATCTTCTCACTCCCGTTCTAGAGCCTCCACCTCTTCCACTTCTGATATTTGTGACCGTCTGGATCGCCTTGAGACTCAGTACTCAGGTATTCAGAAGCAAGTCTCATCTATTCAGAAGGATGTTAGGACTATTCTTTCATACCAGCGTCAGTCTCTTGGGATCCCTTCTAATTCTGAGTCTGATTTTAGTGAGGATTCTGCTGATGGCTCTGATGGTGATGGTGGTGGTGATGATGATGGTAGTGGTGATGGTGATGGTGATGATGTTGGAGGAGGTGATGACTGATTTGAGTTTCTTCATATGATGTTTTTATTTGTTTTTGATGCTCTCTTCTGGGTTGTAAAACTTGATAACTCTGTTTTATTTGAGTGTAATAACTCTATGATACTTTGTGGAACAAACTATGTATGGTTTTTGTGTGATTTTTTACGTATAATTTACTATCTTGTTGTGGACAAACCTATGCTTATGCAAAACTATGTTGTTTCTAATGCTTATGTGATATTTTGTGGCCTATTGTGTTTAATTTATTTCTTTTATAAATCAATGCATTGTTGAAACAACATTCAAAATTTGATGTGTGGTAAATATTAGTTTCCTGTCATGAGTTCTTTGCACTGTTTAGGTTTTGTATATTTATGCAAATCTATGATGCTAAAATGATGTTTTGTAATTACTTATGCCAGTTTATCATGTTATGATCAATGCATGGTTAAGACTATAATCATGTTTTTGTTTATAGAATTTGAATTACTTGTATTATTTATATGCATATGTTTGATGGATAGTTGTTGGTTTAGCTCCTGTATATATGATCAGTAGATGTCATTCAGTCTTTTTGACAGGGGGAGCCTTTGACATACAATTCTTTATTTTTTATCTATGCTTATAAGCAGGGGGAGCATTGCTCCTATCTTTCATTTTTTCCTTTTTGATGTTGTCAAAGGGGGAGAAAATACCACATATAGCTTACAAATTGATTCTTTTATATATATATATGGTCTTGTTATGATTTACTCTTGTTTTGGCTTATATGTGGATTATCAGTATATATTTCATATTCATGTATAAATTGTTTGCCATCATAAAAAAGGGGGAGATTGTTGACCCTATAGTTTTGATGATGATTTGACAAACAATTTATTACTAATAAGTTTTCTAGTGTTTTGTGTTTATGTTCTTTTTTCAGGTATTTCAACACGCGTTAATCAAGCGTTAAAGATTCAAGTTCATTTGCGTGGATTTACCTAGGTATATGTTTAGTTTACTTACATATATAGTATGATTATATCTAAGCTCAATATATATACACTTAACACGATTTTTGACGTTTTCTATCATATAGATGATTTTTCATTAAACGTTGTTAAAATACTTTATCTCATGTTTACAGCTCCTTCATACTTCACTATATACATATATTATATGCACAAGATATATGTATATTTACAAGGTTTTCTAAGCATTCTTAAAAACAGGTAGTTTTCACAAACTAAAATTGATTTTCCAGAAATTCTCTTTCAAACATGTTTATTTTATCATTTAGAAACTTTCCCCAAAGTTTCATTATTTTTGAACTTGATTTGATATTTTTTCTGGATTTTCAAACTAGCCCCAAAACCTGAACTTTTATTTATATCAGAATTCGATCGACCGGTACGGTCGACCGACTGTTGTTCCGTTTCTGAGTAAACTTCCAGAGAGCCCTCCGGTCGACCAGAATTTATATCGGACGACCGAAATTTCCAATTCGGTCGACCGCTTTTTCCGTCGGTCGACCGACAGCTTTAATTCTTCGTTTCTCTGGGTTTTTGAACTAATCGGTCGACCGGCTAGTTTTTCAAATGGACTTTTTGGTCTTTTACTTATTTCTAACTGTTGTATTGGGGTGCTATATATACTCCATTGCTGTTCTTCTTCTCCTAGAACTAAGAAATCCAAGTTTGTTGTTTAACAAAATATTAATCGTGTTTAAGAGCTGTTTAAGAGTTGGTTTCGCTAATCAGTTTTTCAAGAGAAGTTTTCTACAACAAGAAGAGGCCTTCAAATCTTATTGAGATCACCATTTCCTCAACTCTTCTTGTTTATTGAGAAGTCTTCTAAACTCTTTCCTATATAGCTTATTATTCACTTTCATTTGATTAAGCTATATTCATTGAGTTATATTTATTTTCATTCACTATTATCACACACACTTATTGAGCTTGATATTCTCATATTATATATTGTGGGTTGTAGTGTGGGATTTAGTGAGTGTGAGCTTTATTGTGTTCTCACTTGTCAATTGAGAACAAATCATTGTATTGAACCTTTATTTGTGAGATTCACTTGTAACACACTTGTACACCGAGAGAAGTGTGAGGAGAGAGAGACGGTGTCAAATCCAATAGGAGTGGCGTCGATTGACGAACCTAGGGAGAGGTTGTAATCGAGCACTTGAGGAGAAGGACACGGGCTAGGTTCCTACACTTAGTGTGTAAAAGTGTGTTTGTTGAGTGATTGTGTAGTATGAAAGTTTTCGGTGAACTTATAAACCGAGTGTGTAGAAGTTCCGGCTTCCAAACCGGATTGTGATATGGATATCTCCTCGAGGTGAGGAGCGGGGACGTAGGTCGTGGGGACCGAACCTCGTGAACATATCGTGTGTCTGTGTTTTGTTTGGCGTACATATTATTCATCTTTATTGCTCATATTCATATCATATTTATTCTTGCTAGATCAAATTGATCAATAGAATTTTATTTGGTATTAATTGGGATTAGATTAGCATAAGACCCTAATCACCCCCCTCTAGGGTCTAACACTCCTCTTCTCTTCTTCAACCCTCACTGCGTGAAAGAAAAAGGTAGAGGAGCCGCCACCCAGCTCTGATACCATGTAGAATTTGGGGTGAAAATTAGGGTTTTCTCTCATAGAGAGGTACCCCTTTTATATTAGTGCACTCTTACAAATAAGTCCTTACAACATTGACTAATTAATTTAATCTATCTAAATAACTCAACAGTAGTAGATTCACTTCAACGGAGAAGACGATGGAACGAAACGCACAAGAGAAGGGAGATGCACAGATACATTCTCTCGAGACTCCTCTGCAATCGAAGAGAAAACAGGAGAATCACCGACCAATGGTGAAGGAGCGAGCTGCTGAGGAAAGCTCGCGTACGTTCTCAAAAATGGAGGAGGAACCTCTGATGCACTCTCTTGAGATTTGTTCGTGTGCGGAGGAAAATTGTTCGAAGAACTTTGCATTGGTGCAGAATGTTGCTCAGATAAACTCTCGTATAAAAACATTTTGTTTCTTTGGAATATCTTCTTGTTTTTGCATTAACATGGCAACTACCTCGGACATTGGTGGCCTTGTGCTAGGAAGCGGCTGGAGACAAAGGAAAGCTATTTGACAGGTTTTTAGCACATCAGCTTCCACTATTCCATCAGCTTGCAGTCTAGGATCGACCAAATCGATAATCTTTGATTTTTCATACAATCTCCATGCCTACAAGTTATAGAAGGCCACCACTTTCATTAGTACGCAGGGATTTTTGGAGATTGGTCCTTTACATCTTTAACATTTTGAAACTAGTCCTTCAAATCATTGAAATTGCTATTTGGTCTCTCAGATTCTATTAGTTAATAACTTCGAATTATTCCCTGTAGTTAGCTGCCTATTGAGATTTTGGGGGTTATTGATTTTGGGGAAATATCCATTTACCTTAAACTTTCTGTCATGAGTTTCCAAGTATACATACACTTCTGTTTTAAGTCATTCCAGACCAAAACTTACTTCTCTAAGCCTGTTTAAGTCCCAGATGTGAGATAGAAGACCTATTAAATTTGTGATTAGAGCTCTACATCCACTCTCCAATAATCTAGTGGACTCATTCTTCTTCGGCAGCTTTCCCGATATAGGTCTCTAAACCTTTTGGTATGACATAGGGACTACTTTGAAATGACTAATAATATTTGAGGGACTAAACATTAATTTGAAATGAGTAATAATATTTGAGAGGGTAAACAGCAATTTTGATGATTTGAAGGACTAATTTAACAATAGTAAAGATTTAAGGGACCAATATCGAGAGAGAAAAAAAAAACCCAAGTAATTAATATGCTTATGCCATTCGTAGCTCTAAGACGCGAACCTACATATTCTGGGAGGTATTGCATCTCAGCTGGTAGCGAAAGGTCTGTGTTCTTTCTCGAGCTAACGATCTCAAGCACAAGAACCCCGAAACTGTATATGTCTGCCTTTTCTGATAGCTCTCCTCTGATAGCGTATTCTGGTGCAGTATAGCCTCTGAAATAAATTATTTCGAATCATATAGCATTGCTCGACATTTTCTATATATAGAATCTAAATCATAAAAGCATTTTAAAAAAATTGGTTTCAAAACACACCAAATAGGACTTCAGCATCTGGTGCAATTTTTGTTTTGCTGGAGAATTAAGTGAGCGTAGTAAATGCCACGGTAGTTCTTTAGTTATAAACAAGGACTTGTATTATTGTAACCTGAAAAGTAACGACCTAGAGATGTAGACACTTGAACCCTGGAAGTCTATATAGTACGGGAATTAGTAAGTTGTATTACGTGTTTCCAATTTAGAGATGCAAACATTTTGATCATAAACACCCTAAAATTTTGAGTATAAACTATATAGAATTGTAGCAACTTACAGCGTTCCAGCAAATGTGGTGTCAAGATATGCCTGGTCTTCTGGGAAGAACCTTGCCAACCCAAAATCACCAATTTTAGGTTGAAATTTGTCATCAAGCAGGATGTTGCTAGGTTTGATATCTCTATGCACAATCCTTAAATTTGAGTCTTCATGAAGGTACTGTAATCCCCGAGCTATGCCAAGAATGATTTGAAACCGAGTCTTCCAGTTGAGGAAAGTTGCACAATTTCCTGTTTCATTAAATTATTAGTATGATTTAATAACGTGAATCATTCGGATTGAGATCCTCTACTAATGAGGAGCTTTCTAATATCTTCTAATAGAATCTTGGCCTTTGATTTATCAATTAAAGGCCAATATCTCCTCACCCTGATAAATATTAAACAAATGTAGGGGGGGTTAAGCAAAAAAATTCAAACATTATGGTGGGTTTCGATCTGGACTTCCAAACTTATCGGAGGTTAAGTGACATTTTCAAAGTTTTTGGGGGTTAACTGAAAAACTCCCAAACTCTATTGCGTGTTTGGAGAAATTTACCCTTTGTACTTTTCTCAAGTGTCAACAAGCAAATAAATTAAGAATCCATCAGATGAGATACTGACCGTACAGTATACTCTCCAAGCTTTTATTCTTCATGTATTCATACACAAGTAGCCTTTGTGCACCGTCAGAGCAGCAACCGACAAGACGAACGAGATTTTTGTGCTGGATGCTGGTTATCATTCTAACTTCAGTGAGAAATTCCGACTCCCCTTGCTGAGACTTTCCAAGCGACAGCTGCTTCACCGCAATCATCGTCCCATTATCTAACACTCCCTGTTATAACAATATGGTTATATATTAGGGACTTAGAATACAGAGGTAGGATAACTTTCAGCTACATGTTAGGGTTAGTTGCGGATATACCCCCCTGTCCATACTGTGCTGAACTTA